AACAACAGTTGCTGATGCAACAACGGCTGATGTTACAACAACAGTAGCTGACACAACTACAGTGGCTGACGCAGCTACGGCAGATACTACAGCAGCTGATGCTACAACTACAGTGGCTGACACAACTGCAGCTGATGCTACAACAACAGTTGCTGATGCAACAACGGCTGATGTTACAACAGCAGTTGCTGACACAACTACAGTGGCTGACGCAACTGATGTTACAAAAGCAGTAGCTGACACAACTACAGTGGCTGACGCAACTACGGCAGATACTGCAGCAGCTGATGCTACAACTACAGTGGCTGACACAACTGCAGCTGATGCTACAACAACAGTTGCTGATGCAACAACGGCTGATGTTACTACAGCAGTTGCTGACACAACTACAGTGGCTGACGCAACTACGGCAGATACTACAGTAGCTGATGCAACAACTACAGTGGCTGACACAACTGCAGCTGATGCTACAACAACAGTTGCTGATGCAACAACGGCTGATGTTACAACAGCAGTTGCTGACACAACTACAGTGGCTGACGCAACTACGGCAGATACTACAGCAGCTGATGCTACAACTACAGTGGCTGACACAACTGCAGCTGATGCTACAACAACAGTTGCTGATGCAACAACGGCTGATGTTACAACAGCAGTTGCTGACACAACTACAGTGGCTGACGCAACTACGGCAGATACTACAGCAGCTGATGCTACAACTACAGTGGCTGACACAACTGCAGCTGATGCTACAACAACAGTTGCTGATGCAACAACGGCTGATGTTACAACAACAGTAGCTGACACAACTACAGTGGCTGACGCAACTACGGCAGATACTACAGCAGCTGATGCTACAACTACAGTGGCTGACACAAGTGCAGCTGATGCTACAACAACAGTTGCTGATGCAACAACGGCTGATGTTACAACAGCAGTTTCTGACACAACTACAGTGGCTGACGCAACTACGGCAGATACTTCAGCAGCTGATGCTACAACTACAGTGGCTGACACAGCTGCAGCTGATGCTACAACAACAGTTGCTGATGCAACAACGGCTGATGTTACACTAACGGTAGCTGACACAACTACAGTGGCTGACGCAACTACGGCAGATACTACAACAGCTGATGCTACAACTACAGTGGCTGACACAACTGCAGCTGATGCTACAACAACAGTTGCTGATGCAACAGCGGCTGATGTTAGAACAACAGTAGCTGACACAACTACAGTGGCTGACGCAACTACGGCAGATACTACAGCAGCTGATGCTACAACTACAGTGGCTGACCCAACTGCAGCTGATGCTACAACAACAGTTGCTGATGCAACAACGGCTGATGTTACAACAACAGTAGCTGACACAACTACAGTGGCTGACGCAACTACCGAAGATACTACAGCAGCTGATGCTACAACTACAGTGGCTGACACAACTGCAGCTGATGCTACAACAACAGTTGCTGATGCAACAACGGCTGATGTTAAAACAGCAGTTGCTGACACAACTACAGTGGCTGACGCAACTACGGCAGATACTACAGCAGCTGATGCTACAAATACAGTGGCTGACACAACTACAGCTGATGCTACAACAACAGTTTCTGATGTTACAACGGCTGATGTTACAACAACAGTAGCTGACACAACTACAGTGGCTGACGCAACTACGGCAGATATTACAGCAGCTGATGCTACAAGTACAGTGGCTGACACAACTACAGCTGATGCTACAACAACAGTTGCTGATGCAACAACGGCTGATGTTACAACAACAGTAGCTGACACAACTACAGTGGCTGACGCAGCTACGGCAGATACTACAGCAGCTGATGCTACAACTACAGTGGCTGACACAACTGCAGCTGATGCTACAACAACAGTTGCTGATGCAACAACGGCAGATACTACAGCAGCTGGTGCTACAACTACAGTGGCTGACACAACTGCAGCTGATGCTACAACAACAGTTGTTGATGCAACAGCAGCTGATGTTACAACAGCAGTAGCTGACACAACTACAGTGGCTGACGCAACTACGGCAGATACTACAGCAGCTGATGCTACAACTACAGTGGCTGACACAACTGCAGCTGATGCTACAACAACAGTTGCTGATGCAACAACGGCTGATGTTACAACAGCAGTTGCTGACACAACTACAGTGGCTGACGCAACTACGGCAGATACTACAGCAGCTGATGCAACAACTACAGTGGCTGACACAACTGCAGCTGATGCTACAACAACAGTTGCTGATGCAACAACGGCTGATGTTACAACAGCAGTTGCTGACACAACTACAGTGGCTGACGCAACTACGGCAGATACTACAGCAGCTGATGCTACAACTACAGTGGCTGACACAACTGCAGCTGATGCTATAACAACAGTTGCTGATGCAACAACGGCTGATGTTACAACAACAGTAGCTGACACAACTACAGTGGCTGACGCAACTACGGCAGATACTACAGCAGCTGATGCTACAACTACAGTGGCTGACACAAGTGCAGCTGATGCTACAACAACAGTTGCTGATGCAACAACGGCTGATGTTACAACAGCAGTTTCTGACACAACTACAGTGGCTGACGCAACTACGGCAGATACTTCAGCAGCTGATGCTACAACTACAGTGGCTGACACAGCTGCAGCTGATGCTACAACAACAGTTGCTGATGCAACAACGGCTGATGTTACACTAACGGTAGCTGACACAACTACAGTGGCTGACGCAACTACGGCAGATACTACAGCAGCTGATGCTACAACTACAGTGGCTGACACAACTACAGCTGATGCTACAACAACAGTTGCTGATGCAACAGCGGCTGATGTTACAACAACAGTAGCTGACACAACTACAGTGGCTGACGCAACTACGGCAGATACTACAGCAGCTGATGCTACAACTACAGTGGCTGACACAAATGCAGCTGATGCTACAACAACAGTTGCTGATGCAACAACGGCTGATGTTACAACAGCAGTTGCTGACACAACTACAGTGGCTGACGCAACTACGGCAGATACTACAGCAGCTGATGCTACAAGTACAGTGGCTGACACAACTACAGCTGATACTACAACAACAGTTGCTGATGCAACAACGGCTGATGTTACAACAACAGTAGCTGACACAACTACAGTGGCTGACGCAACTACGGCAGATACTACAGCAGCTGATGCTACAACTACAGTGGCTGACACAACTGCAGCTGATGCTACAACAACAGTTGCTGATGCAACAACGGCTGATGTTACACTAACGGTAGCTGACACAACTACAGTGGCTGACGCAACTACGGCAGATACTACAGCAGCTGATGCTACAACCACAGTGGCTGACACAACTGCAGCTGATGCTACAACAACAGTTGCTGATGCAACAACGGCTGATGTTACAACAGCAGTTGCTGACACAACTACAGTGGCTGACGCAACTACGGCAGATACTACAGCAGCTGATGCTACAACTTCAGTGGCTGACACAACTGTAGCTGATGCTACAACAACAGTTGCTGATGCAACAACGGCTGATGTTACAACAACAGTAGCTGACACAACTACAGTGGCTGACGCAACTACGGCAGATACTACAGCAGCTGATGCTACAACTACAGTGGCTGACACAACTGCAGCTGATGCTACAACAACAGTTGCTGATGCATCAACGGCTGATGTTAAAACAGCAGTTGTTGACACAACTACAGTGGCTGACGCAACTACGGCAGATGCTACAGCAGCTGATGCTACAAGTACAGTGGCTGACACAACTACAGCTGATGCTACAACAACAGTTTCTGATGCAACAACGGCTGATGTTACAACAACGGTAGCTGACACAACTACAGTGGCTGACGCAACTACGGCAGATACTACAGCAGCTGATGCTACAACTACAGTGGCTGACACAACTGCAGCTGATGGTACAACAACAGTTGCTGATGCAACAACGGCTGATGTTACAACAGCAGTTGCTGACACAACTACAGTGGCTGACGCAACTACGGCAGATACTACAGCAGCTGATGCTACAAGTACAGTGGCTGACACAACTACAGCTGATGCTACAACAACAGTTGCTGATGCAACAACGGCTGATGTAACAACAACAGTAGCTGACACAAGTACAGTGGCTGACGCAACTACGGCAGATACTACAGCAGCTGATGCTACAACTACAGTGGCTGACACAACTGCAGCTGATGCTACAACAACAGTTGCTGATGCAACAACGGCTGATGTTACAACAGCAGTTGCTGACACAACTACAGTGGCTGACGCAACTGATGTTACAACAGCAGTAGCTGACACAACTACAGTGGCTGACGCAACTACGGCAGATACTACAGCAGCTGATGCTACAACTACAGTGGCTGACACAAGTGCAGCTGATGCTACAACAACAGTTGCTGATGCAACAACGGTTGATGTTACAACAGCAGTTGCTGACACAACTACAGTGGCTGACGCAACTACGGCAGATACTACAGCAGCTGATGCTACAACTACAGTGGCTGACACAACTGCAGCTGATGCTACAACAACAGTTGCTGATGCAACAACGGCTGATGTTACAACAGCAGTTGCTGACACAACTACAGTGGCTGACGCAACTACGGCAGATACTACAGCAGCTGATGCTACAACTACAGTGGCTGACACAACTGCAGCTGATGCTACAACAACAGTTGCTGATGCAACAACGGCTGATGTTACAACAGCAGTTGCTGACACAACTACAGTGGCTGACGCAACAACCGAAGATACTACAGCAGCTGATGCTACAACTACAGTGGCTGACACAACTGCAGCTGATGCTACAACAACAGTTGCTGATGCAACAACGGCTGATGTTACAACAGCAGTTGCTGACACAACTACAGTGGCTGACGCAACTACGGCAGATACTACAACAGCTGATGCTACAAGTACAGTGGCTGACACAACTACAGCTGATGCTACAATAACAGTTGCTGATGCAACAAAGGCTGATGTTACAACAACAGTAGCTGACACAACTACAGTGGCTGACGCAACTACGGCAGATACTACAGCAGCTGATGCTACAACTACAGTGGCTGACACAACTACAGCTGATGCTACAACAACAGTTGCTGATGCAACAACGGCTGATGTTACAACAACAGTAGCTGACACAACTACAGTGGCTGACGCAACTACGGCAGATACTACAGCAACAACGGCTGATGTTACAACAGCAGTTGCTGACACAACTACAGTGGCTGACGCAACTACGGCAGATACTACAGCAGCTGATGCTACAAGTACAGTGGCTGACACAACTACAGCTGATGCTACAACAACAGTTGCTGATGCAACAACGGCTGATGTTACAACAACAGTAGCTGACACAACTACAGTGGCTGACGCAACTACGGCAGATACTACAGCAGCTGATGCTACAACTACAGTGGCTGACACAACTACAGCTGATGCTACAACAGCAGTTTCTGATGCAACAACGGCTCATGTTACAACAACAGTAGCTGATACAACTACAGTGGCTGACGCAACTACGGCAGATACTACAGCAGCTGATGCTACAACTACAGTGGCTGACGCAACTGCAGCTGATGCTACAACAACAGTTGCTGATGCAACAACGGCTGATGTTACAACAGCAGTTGCTGACACAACTTCAGTGGCTGACGCAACTACGGCAGATACTACAGCAGCTGATGCTACAAGTACAGTGGCTGACACAACTACAGCTGATGCTACAACAACAGTTGCTGATGCAACAACGGCTGATGTTACAACAACAGTAGCTGACACAACTACAGTGGCTGACGCAACTACGGCAGATACTACAGCAGCTGATGCTACAACCACAGTGGCTGACACAACTGCAGCTGATGCTACAACAACAGTTGCTGATGCAACAACGGCTGATGTTACAACAGCAGTTGCTGACACAACTACAGTGGCTGACGCAACTACGGCAGATACTACAGCAGCTGATGCTACAAGTACAGTGGCTGACACAACTACAGCTGATGCTACAACAACAGTTGCTGATGCAACAACGGCTGATACTACAGCAGCTGATGCTACAACTACAGTTGCTGATGCAACAACGGCTGATGTTACAACAGCAGTTGCTGACACAACTACAGTGGCTGACGCAACTACGGCAGATACTACAGCAGCTGATGCTACAAGTACAGTGGCTGACACAACTACAGCTGATGCTACAACTACAGTGGCTGACGCAACTACGGCAGATACTACAGCAGCTGATGCTACAACTACAGTGGCTGACGCAACTGCAGCTGATGCTACAACAACAGTTGCTGATGCAACAACGGCTGATGTTACAACAGCAGTTGCTGACACAACTTCAGTGGCTGACGCAACTACGGCAGATACTACAGCAGCTGATGCTACAAGTACAGTGGCTGACACAACTACAGCTGATGCTACAACAACAGTTGCTGATGCAACAACGGCTGATGTTACAACAACAGTAGCTGACACAACTACAGTGGCTGACGCAACTACGGCAGATACTACAGCAGCTGATGCTACAACCACAGTGGCTGACACAACTGCAGCTGATGCTACAACAACAGTTGCTGATGCAACAACGGCTGATGTTACAACAGCAGTTGCTGACACAACTACAGTGGCTGACGCAACTACGGCAGATACTACAGCAGCTGATGCTACAAGTACAGTGGCTGACACAACTACAGCTGATGCTGCAACAACAGTTGCTGATGCAACAACGGCTGATGTAACAACAACAGTACCTGACACAACTACAGTGGCTGACGCAACTACGGCAGATACTACAGCAGCTGATGCTACAACTACAGTGGCTGACACAACTGCAGCTGATGCTACAACAACAGTTGCTGATGCAACAACGGCTGATGTTACAACAGCAGTTGCTGACACAGCTACAGTGGCTGACGCAACTACGGCAGATACTACAGCAGCTGATGCTACAAGTACAGTGGCTGACACAACTACAGCTGATGCTACAACAACAGTTGCTGATCCAACAAAGGCTGATGTTACAACAACAGTACCTGACACAACTACAGTGGCTGACGCAACTACGGCAGATACTACAGCAGCTGATGCTACAACTACAGTGGCTGACACAACTACAGCTGATGCTACAACAACAGTTGCTGATGCAACAACGGCAGATACTACAGCAGCTGATGCTACAAGTACAGTGGCTGACACAACTACAGCTGATGCTACAACAACAGTTGCTGATGCAACAACGGCTGATGTTACAACAACAGTAGCTGACACAACTACAGTGGCTGACGCAACTACGGCAGATACTACAGCAGCTGATGCTACAACTTCAGTGGCTGACACAACTGTAGCTGATGCTACAACAACAGTTGCTGATGCAACAACGGCTGATGTTACAACAACAGTAGCTGACACAACTACAGTGGCTGACACAACTACAGCTGATGCTACAACAACAGTGGCTGACGCAACTACGGCAGATACTACAGCAGCTGATGCTACAAGTACAGTGGCTGACACAACTACAGCTGATGCTACAACAACAGTTGCTGATGCAACAACGGCTGATGTTACAACAACAGTAGCTGACACAACTACAGTGGCTGACGCAACTACGGCAGATACTACAGCAGCTGATGCTACAACTTCAGTGGCTGACACAACTGTAGCTGATGCTACAACAACAGTTGCTGATGCAACAACGGCTGATGTTACAACAACAGTAGCTGACACAACTACAGTGGCTGACGCAACAACCGAAGATACTACAGCAGCTGATGCTACAACTACAGTGGCTGACACAACTGCAGCTGATGCTACAACTGCAGACACAACTACGGCTGATGTTACAACAGCAGTTGCTGACACAACTACAGTGGCTGACGCATCTACGGCAGATACTACAGCAGCTGATGCTACAACTACAGTGGCTGACACAACTGCAGCTGATGCTACAACAACAGTTGCTGATGCAACAACGGCTGATGTTACAACATCAGTTGCTGACACCACTACAGTGGCTGACGCAACTACGGCAGATACTACAGCAGCTGATGCTACAACTACAGTGGCTGACACAACTGCAGCTGATGCTACAACAACAGTTGCTGATGCAACAACGGCTGATGTTACAACAAAAGTAGCTGACACAACTACAGTGGCTGACACAACTGCAGCTGATGCTACAACAACAGTTGCTGATGCAACAACGGCTGATGTTACAACAGCAGTTGCTGACACAACTACAGTGGCTGACACAACAACGGCAGATACTACAGCAGCTGATGTTACAAGTACAGTGGCTGACACAACTACAGCTGATGCTACAGCAACAGTTGCTGATGCAACAACGGCTGATGTTACAACAACAGTAGCTGACACGACTACAGTGGCTGACGCAACTACGGCAGATACTACAGCAGCTGATGCTTCAACTACAGTGGCTGACACAACTGCAGCTGATGCTAAAACAACAGTTGCTGATGCAACAACGGCTGATGTTACAACAGCAGTTGCTGACACCACTACAGTGGCTGATGCAACTACGGCAGATACTACAGCAGCTGATGCTACAAGTACAGTGGCTGACACAACTACAGCTGATGCTACAACAACAGTTGCTGATGCAACAACGGCTGATGTTACAACAGCAGTTGCTGACACAACTACAGTGGCTGACGCAACAACGGCTGATGTTACAAGTACAGTAGCTGATGCAACAACGGCTGATGTTACAACAGCAGTTGCTGACACAACTACAGTGGCTGACGCAACCACGGCAGATACTACAGCAGCAGCTGATGCTACAAGTACAGTGGCTGACACAACTACAACTGATGCTACAACAACAGTTGCTGATGCAACAACGGCTGATGTTACAACAACAGTAGCTGACACAACTACAGCAGATACTACAGCAGCTGATGCTACAACAACAGTTGCTGATGCAACAACGGCTGATGTTACAACAGCAGTTGTTGACACAACTACAGTGGCTGACGCAACTACGGCAGATACTACAGCAGCTGATGCTAGAACTACAGTGGCTGACACAACTACAGCTGATGCTACAACAACAGTTGCTGATGCAACAACGGCTGATGTTACAACAACAGTAGCTGACACAACTACAGTGGCTGACGCAACTACGGCAGATACTACAGCAGCTGATGCTACAACTACAGTGGCTGACACAACTGCAGCTGATGCTACAGCAACAGTTGCTGATGCAACAACGGCTGATGTTACAACAGCAGTTGCTGACACAACTACAGTGGCTGACGCAACTACGGCAGATACTACAGCAGCTGATGCTACAAGTACAGTGGCTGACACAACTACAGCTGATGCTACAACAACAGTTGCTGATGCAACAACGGCTGATGTTACAACAACAGTAGCTGACACAACTACAGTGGCTGACGCAACTACGGCAGATACTACAGCAGCTGATGCTACAACTACAGTGGCTGACACAACTGCAGCTGATGCTACAACTACAGTTGCTGATGCAACAACGGCTGATGTTACAACAGCAGTTGCTGACACAACTACAGTGGCTGACGCAACTACGGCAGATACTACAGCAGCTGATGCTACAAGTACAGTGGCTGACACAACTACAGCTGATGCTACAACAACCGTTGCTGATGCAACAACGGCTGATGTTACAACAACAGTTGCTGACACAACTACAGTGGCTGACGCAACTACGGCAGATAATACAGCAGCTGATGCTACAACTACAGAGGCTGACACAACTACAGCTGATGCTACAACAACAGTTGCTGATGCAACAATGGCTGATGTTACAACAACAGTAGCTGCCACAACTACAGTGGCTGATGCAACTACGGCAGATAATACAGCAGCTGATGCTACAACTACAGTGGCTGACACAACTACAGCTGATGCTACAACAACCGTTGCTGATGCAACAACGGCTGATGTTACAACAACAGTAGCTGCCACAATTACAGTGGCTGACGCAACTACGGCAGATAATACAGCAGCTGATGCTACAAGTACAGTGGCTGACACAACTACAGCTGATGCTACAACAACAGTTGCTGATGCAACAACGGCTGATGTTAAAACAACAGTAGCTGACACAACTTCAGTGGCTGACGCAACTACGGCAGATACTACAGCAGCTGATGCTACAAGTACAGTGGCTGACACCACTACAGCTGATGTTACAACAACAGTTGTTGACACAACTACAATGGCTGACGCAACTACGGCAGATACTACTGCAGCTGATGCTACAAGTACAGTGGCTGACACAACTACAGCTGATGCTACAAAAACAGTTGCTGATGCAACAACGGCTGATGTTAAAACAACAGTAGCTGACACAACTTCAGTGGCTGACCCAACTACGGCAGATACTACAGCAGCTGATGCTACAACTACAGTGGCTGACACAACTGCAGCTGATGCTACAACAACAGCTGCTGATGCAACTACCGCTGATACTAAATCAACAGTTACTGACACTACTACAGTGGTAAATACTACAACGGCCGACGCTTCAAATACAGTTGATAATGGAAGTACAGTGAATACGACAACAGTTCTTGATATAACTTCTAGTGTGCCGACAACAGCTGCTAATACTACTACAGCAGTAGAGTTTCCTGATTCACCTGATGCTGGTATAACGGATGAATTTGCTGGTGTCGTTATAACAAGTACAGTTGCAGCCGGTGGTGGCATTTTCATATTTGCATCATTATGCTGTGGTGTATGTATATTCTTTATCAGAAAGAGACGAAAGCACGAAAATGAAGAAGTTATAATATACGAAAATTTTTATCACAGTTGGGAAGAAAGTGGTGGATATTCTGAATACGAGAGTACCACAGAATCATCAGACTCATCCATTGAATGGAATCCAGAATCATATCCTATTCCAACTGGTCCATTCGCTGTTCAGTTCCCATCTTCGGTGGATTTACCATTCTCTCAGCCTTTACAATCGGATAATACTGCTTCGCTTTGGGAAAGTGAAAACACTACGTTGGATTATATAGTGGAAGATTATGCAATAGTTGACCATGATGTGTAAAACAATAACTGTTACTTGATTAAATGACATTGTTTTGGCCGTATTGTACTATATTCAGGCCTCTTCATTCGGATAATACTGCTTTGCCCTTGGAAAGTGAAAACACTGCGTCGGATTAAATAGTGGAAGATTATGCAATAGTTGACCATGATGTGTAAAACAATAACTGTTACTTGATTAAATGACATTGTTTTGGCCGTATTGTACTATATTCATGCTCTTCATTCGGATAATACTGCTTTGCCCTTGGAAAGTGAAAACACTGCGTTGGATTATATAGTGGAAGATTATATGATAGTTGATCATGATGTATGAATCAATTATTGTTACTAAATGGTACTGTTTTGGCCATATTTCAGCCTTTATAATTGGATAATACTGCGGAAAACACTACTTTGGATTATTATACTATTGAAGATTATACAATAGACGATGATGTGTAACACATTGTTGTTACTATGGACTAAGTGATATTGTCTAATACATATGACATGGTGAATGATTGAGATAATACTTTTCTTGATTATATGCTAGTCGAGAAATATTACTTCGATTTTTATAGTCAGTTACTGAATGTATCTAAAAATAGAAAGTGAGTCTAATGATCCAGTGTTTGCAGAAGATTTTTGCCGAAGTCAATATTGCAGAAAACACTTTGTGTTATGCAATATTGCTCAATTGTCTGGTATATTGGCAAATTCATGTAGACTAGTACTTTTCTTTAATGAAAGTTTACCAAAAATAGAATGTCCAGTTAAGAAAGTTTTGCAGGACATTTTAATTAATTTTAGGAACACTCTCTTTTACTGGTACGTTTCGAACGAATGATTCCAGGGAAATTAAAAAGAATGGTCAATTATTCCTGAACAAGCTGTGAAAAAATTAAAAAATCTCCATAAATTATTTGAGAGCATATTGATATCGAGGAAATTAATCGTAAATTAAACTCCATATATTTGAGTAATGGTGTATTTTTATGGTCCATATGAGACTCAACGATGTGAAAAATATTACTTTGAAATTCTATGATAGCTGATGGATTGCACAAAATTCACTGCTTGAGAAAACTTCGTTCTTATCATTATGATAGAGACTGAGATTATTCTGCACTTTTTCACCTCCTCTCCCACAGATTCTACATTTGACCTTTTCAACACGCCAAATTGCTTTTTCGATTTCAATCACAACGTAGGGTTATTTTTTCAAAAAATCATGTTATATAATTTGATTCAGAATACTATATTTTTGCTTTACACGACTTACACTTGATATTGGAAAATCCACAAGATATAAAGTATATTATTTATCTCTTGATGTTTCCTTGTAAAAAAGCCATGTATTTGTATATGAGGCTGAGCACTATTTAGGCTTCTAAAAGGTTAAATCATGCACATATATTATTTCTGGAGGAGAGCAGGGGTGAAAAAATAGTATGACACTAGATATACGCGTTTCACTGTTAGGTGTCCTAGCTTGATTCTGTTCTAGTTCAACTAGAAACATCATGCTAGGTAAAAAAAACTTATCATTTTTCGTTTTCGTATTATTGGTAGCCTGTTTTTGTTGAAAAGAGTACGATTCGTCTTCTTTATAATAATTGGGACTTTGTCCTTATAATTCCTGGAATGCCAGAGCATAACATTTCCGAATAAGTTATTTGATTATTTATTTTTATATATCATCTGATACCATTTCTAGACAATACAATTTTGCTCTATGTTTATGTTTCCCTTAGGGAACATTGTATCCAAAACCTCCCTAATTTGGATATAAAATCTATGTATGCCGGACTGCTGTTAAACTATATAGTGTCACCAATCATGACAATACATGTACATGTATATATATCTTTATTGTTAAAACTCTTAGTAATTCACATAATAAATACTTTTTGAGATAATTGCAAACGGTGAAGTTGTCTTCACTTATTCTAAGGTTTACGTCTGATTCTAGCTTTTATATGAAACACGTGATTAAAAATGATTAATAACGAATAACGATAGACACATTCTTCGATTGTTCTGGGTATCCAATAGCTTAACGATTCCAATCGACAAGGAATTGATTTTATTCTAGTTTATAGAAACACCATGTTATGATATGTTTTTGTTATTATTTATTTTTTTGTTTTTGTATTTATTGATAGTGTTTTGTGAATTGTTAATAGGACAAACATAACTATGTCGACAGCATGCTTCATATTTGCGCATATACTGTTATGACTGCAGTCCTTTTATTCTTGCATACCCGTGAATTATTAACTTTAGGGTAAAAGCAGATATAGAGAGCAAGCGTGTATCTTTTGAAGTCTTATACTTAAATTGAAAGGTACACGCGTACGTTGTTTTGAACCCATAAATATTATCTAATCTTACATATCTGATTCTAGCTTAAATATGCAATTTATGATTTTAATAAGTATGCATTGGACACATCCTTCTGTAATCGCTCTGGGTATCTAAAAGTTAAATGGTTGACATATATACATAGAATACATAGAAAAGGAACTTAATTTCCTGAATTTGATTTATAAAAGTTATTTGAGAATATATAAAATGTTCTATATATAATGTTGTTTGTTCCTTGTTTTTTCCCCTTTCTTAACCCCTAGTCATATTATGCGCCTTTTTTCATAGATCTCATCTCTTAGAAGGGTATCAGTTCAAAAAATACTAGATGGCCTAACATATTTTGCCATGCACTGGGCCTATTTATTTGGCAATTCAGTAGTAAATTTTCTCTTGAAAAAATAAATCTTCCAAATGTGTTGTGTTTTCTTGCAGAAATTGCCTAATCCCCCCCCCCTCCATCCATTTGTACTATCACCGGGCGTGATAACTGTTACTGGCAACTGAGGAAAGCACTTAACAGATTCCACAATAGTCATATAAACATCAACCTCAAAAATAGAGTTGGCCAGGAATGCTAACAGCTCAGTCTTGTTCTGGTTGTTTCTTAGAAACCCTAACCAATTCCATGAATCCTTGTCAGGGACTTCCTACTGTTTTATAGGTAAACACCCCAGATAACATTTTATCTTGAAACACCTTCAATAGGCTGCCTTACTTGGGATGAGACATTGGTACCATATTCTTGGAAGTTGGTAGCCACACCAGGATGCATCACATGGACCATAAGGATGCCATCTATTAAAATTGCATCTGTAGGTGGCTTTTCCAATACTTCAGATCCAGCTGGCTTAGCTTCTTGACATTTAAGTAAGTCTGCTTTTGTTGTAAGTCTCATGACTCCGTGCTTATGCCTTGGTCACATAAGCTCCGATTTTCACTACGGCGCCCGGCCGATGAGTATTTTGTTCAAAATCGGCCGGCGAGCCCGGGCATCGTACGGGCGCCGGGCGATGATCGCCACTCATCGGCCGATTTTTAGACATCGTACGGGCGCCGGCAGAGTTTTATCGCGGAGATAAAAGTTGCCGATGTCTTGGCGATTTTTTCTCAACCAAACTCATCGGTACCTAACCGGCCGTGTCCCGTCCGGTCATCGTACGATTATCTTACGGCGCCCGGTGGCATCGCACGGTCATCTTGGGATTTTGCGTGCTGATTTGTTTGATAAATCTTAATAATGATTACTTATAAAGTGATATAAAGGTTCTAGAAATAATGAAGTAAGGAATTATAATTACTACACACTGTCAGAGATTTTTTATAAAACATAAATGGAACGATTAGGCTTACTGTAAAACAATGGCACACATTTGAATGGCTGGGTGGGTGGGTTGATCAATTCGTTCTTATATTGACATTAATCGTGTACATGTCTGTCATACACATTGAATAGAGTGATACATTTTTATACGTATATTCACTCATGCATATACCATTACAAATCATTTATTTTAAAAACCTTCTGACTGATTTTGTGAGTACAGTATTTTGAAGGGTCACAATTTTAATACGAAGTTCACTGTCTCAATAATTAGTTAATATGCCAAAGGCTAAGGAAAGAGGGGATAAGGCCAATGGGCCATATATGAGGAAGGCCTTGGAAAGACAGGTGGAAAAGACAATTACAATGCTAGTGATCGAGCTGGCGGATGATGGAGATTTAGAGTCCATTTCACTGCTTCATTTCGTCAGTAGAACGGCAAAAATAAGAAATTGGGAGACCATTGTGCAATAATATATGGAAAAGTATATTCATAATGTACATGAATGACATTTGTATATTTCAGATCTTTTAGTTTTTTGTGCAATAAGCCTGTGCCGTCTTGTAATTTGAAGAATTTCAGCCATGTTAATCTTATTGAAAATAACATGGCAGAGAAACATCCAAATATAAGAGGCCACACACTTTATAAGCCAAACTAGAAGCAATCCAAGATATACAAATGACGAAATGAAGCAGTGAAATGGACTCTAGATGTGTCTAGGGAAGAGGGTACTCAATTTGAAATAGAAGAAAAAATTGCCAATTTCTTTGAAGATAGGCCATATTTTTATGACCAAACAAATTCTCTTTACGAGAACAGACAAAAGAAAGATGCAGAAATATGGAATTTTGCTAATAGTATCGGATGGACAGGTAGACATAGTATTTGTTTATATGAAAGATCTAAAAATGAATTAAGGTCAGGGTGCACTTTGATGAAAAGACCACGTGCAGTATGGCAAGTGATTTTAGACGGTCATAACTTTCACCATGAGTACTTTCTGGGCATAAATACAGTGTTTTTATTAAAACAATGTGTTTTCTTTCAATTGGAGTACCCATGATAGTAAAAATATCAATCAAACAATTTGAAAAATTATGAATAGGGACCCCATGTCAGCATTTTTTTCTAAATATTGAACCTATTTACTCGAACAGAGGATCTTCTTTTTCTGATTTTTATTGCATGAAAAGATTATTATCCTGGAAGTCCTGTCTATCGAAGTATTTCGTTTTCGAATCTTGCATTCACGCCATGTGGAACAGTCATACTGGGTCATACAAGAATTTAGTATAAATCTAGAGGCCTGTAGATCGACCGATGTCCTTGCGGGTGCCGTACGGCCATCGGCAGATAGCCTTGCGATACCCGTGCGATGTCTTTCAGATTCAATTGATTGCGGGCGCCGTACGATGCCTGTACTAATGTGACCATACTCACGATTAGATCAAGACATCGGTGAAAAGTCACCGGCGCCCGGTCGATTTAGAAATCGGCCGATGACTACTCATCGGCCGGCGCCCGGCGGCTATGTGACCTAGGCATTAGGTAGGGATGGCGGGAACTCATGGTTTTCATATTTGAAAAACATGTCATTGTGTCTTGATTGGCATGCAATCTAGAGTAATGGCAAAAAGGTCATAATCATTTCTCAGATCCTTGACTTCAGGATTCACTTGCATGCATAGTTGGTGTGGTCTTGGGAGAAAAAAACAAAGAATCATCTGCAGTGATTCCTAAGAT